GCGAGGTGGTCGCCGGGCGGGAGCCGAGCCCAACGGCGCGGCGCGAGGGTCAACCGCCACAGGGCTCCGAAGGACCGAGCCGTGGAGGCCCGTCGCGGGCGACGAAACCCCGTAGCTCCAGCAAGAGCGGGGCCGCCTACGAGGCGCCCTATAGCTGTCCTGACTGCGGGAAGATCTTCAGCCGGAGGTCCTTCCTCGTCCCCCACCGGCGCCTCCACACGGGCGAAAAGCCCTTCACCTGCCACGAGTGCGGGAAGGGTTTCCGAGTCGGGTCGGCTCTCAACAAGCATCAGCGGATCCACACGGGCGAGAAGCCCTACGAGTGCTCGGATTGCGGGAAGCGTTTCCGTCTGTCCTCCACCCTCAGCACCCACCGGCAGATCCACGCCGGCGACAAACCCTACGTCTGCCCGGTTTGCGGGAAGAGCTTTCGGTTGAGCGCGTATCTCCTGGCCCACCAAGGCACCCACGGCGTGGGCCGCCCTTTTCGGTGCCTGGCGTGCGGGAAGGGCTTCAGCATGAGGCACTACCTGGCCATCCACCAGCGGATCCATCGGGGCGAGAAGCCGTTCGAGTGCTCACTGTGCGGGAAGGTCTTCAACCGCAAGTGGACCCTTCGGGTTCACCAGCGGGTCCACAGCGGGGAGAAACCCTACAAGTGCCCCGAGTGTGGGAAAAGCTTCGTCATGAGTTCAGACCTCGCCGCCCATCGGAGAATCCACAGCGGGGAGAAACCTTACAAGTGTCCCGACTGCGGCAAGAGCTTTCGGTTGAAGTCCCACCTGACGAGACACCAGCGAAGCCACACCGGGGAGAGACCCTACAAGTGTAGGGATTGCGGGCAAAGCTACACGGACAGCTCTGGGCTCATCAAACACCAGAAGGTCCACGTGGAAAAGAAGGAGGAGGCATCTCAGGCTGCCCACGCCGGCGAGGGGCGTTATAAGTGCCCTTACTGTAGCGAGAGCTTCCACAAAAAGTCACCTCTGGTCCTTCACCGGGCTACCCACGTCGGGGTGCGACCCTACCGGTGCTCCGCGTGCGAGAAGGCCTTCAGCCACAGCGCCACCCTCCTGAAGCACCGGCGAAGCCATACGGGGGAGAGACCCTACAAGTGCCCTCACTGCGAGAAGCGCTACAAAGACGGCTCGACCCTTCGGAGACACCGGAGGAGCCACACGGAGGAGAAGCCCTACGAGTGCGCCAGCTGCGGGGAATGTTTCGGTGCCGTCGCGGCTCTCCTGAAGCACCAGCGGTTCCACACCGAGGGGAGGCCTTACCGGTGCTCCGACTGCGGGAAAAACTTCCACTCCAATTTCCTCCTCGTCACCCACCGGCGAATCCACACGGGAGAGAGACCCTACGCGTGCCCCATCTGCAAGAAAACCTTCCGCCAAGCCTCCCACCGTACGAGGCACCAGGAGATCCACGCGAGGCCCAGGGCTGGCGGTGCTTCGCGGTCCGAGCACCAGGGGCGGAACGAGGCGGCGCCGGGCGGGAGCCGAGGCGGGACGTGAAGATCAGTTAAAAGAGCTGGAGAGGCCCCGAGTCCATCGGTTGGTGCGAGTTACTCCCCCGAAGGTGCGCCCCGTGTCCTACCTGGCAACGGCGGTCGTGTCTTTGCTCACCCTTGCGCCCGGTTTTGGTGGGTGGCTGGGGGCACGGGGGTTCCTCTGTCAAGCTTGTCGCAGCGTGGCCCTCGTTCTCCTCGCCCTGTTGACGCTGAGGGCCTCCAGGCCCAGGCTCTGGTGGGCTCTCGCTTTCAAATTTGGGATTGTTTCCTCATCTCCGAGGCTTCCTCCTCCTCCCAAACTCACCACAACCAACCCTCCAACTCCATC